TTTTAAAATTCTAAAAATAAAACAATTTGCAAAAGTAATCACCTGGTAAAAAAAAATTAAAATTTTTCTTTTAAAATTAATCATCTACTAATTATTATATAATTCTCAAAGTTTTAGATTGAAATTATAACCTAGCTATGGGTTTTGACTGGGAGTATATTGAAAGCAAGCTCGGATGCACATTGCATAGCCTCAAAAATTGTGACTTGCCTGTCCCTCAAAAATCATGACACTAAAATTAGGACACCACATATTGGGACGCATCTCTCTCCATTCAAAGCCCTATTTATCCCTCTCTAAAAAATGTTGCTCTCTTAAATTGTGAGTCTCTTTATTCAAGGCCTTATTAAAGGGGTTTAGGATGCTTAACTTAGGAATTAGAAAATCAAAGGGTGGGAATAAAATTTCCTTTTCTAGAGAATGTATATTTTTGGAAAGCAACACGAATTTTTTTCAAGCGATAAAAATGGAAGTTTCAACAAGCAATAAAAATAGAAGTTTCATAAAACAAGAAAGAGTTAGACAACTTTTACTAGACGGGATAAAATTAGAACTGTTGTAAAAGGGGAAAGAGTTATATAAGTTTCAAAAGAAGTAAAATGTGGATGCAATCAATCCATGTTTATTTGCAGTGCACTTTTTTTTAAAGTTCGATATAACTCGTTTAAAATTCTTCTATGAAAAAAACGTGTTTTTTTGCCTATTTTTTTAAAAGTTTGTAGATTTAAACATTAAAGAAAGAAATAACAATTTTTTTTTGAAAAAGTCACATTAAAAACTACGACTTGCTAACGATAATAAGTATAGCAAGACTGCCTTGAACTTTCATAGCTATACAAGTTTTTTTGTAGCCCCCCAATTAGTTGTGTGAATAACCCAATTAGTTGTGTGAATAACCTATCTTATATAAGGCTTGGCTGCATCCATCCTCGACGTGGTGAGAGCAAGGGATATCTACCCCTCATGGTTTTACTTCTATAGATGCTATGTCTATGACCTACACAAATCCTATTTGTACATTCCAGTCACATCATTGCCTTCGTCTCTCGCTCTGCTCCACTAGTCACAATGTTCTTGTTTATCGATTTCCTTGGCATTCAACACTACTTCACAAAATAATCCAGGTTTTTGGAATGGTTGTAATATTTACCTCATTTCTTATCCTGCAAACTGCTATTTTCGTCTTTTCAATCTTTGAGGGTCTTGCCTTGATGATTGATTTTTTCTTTTTTTCCTTTGTCGTCCTTGTGTTGTTGTGAACACCTCCTCACTCTCTTTCATTGAGAGCCTCGCTATTTGTCTAGCGAGAGACTCCTAATTGGTAAGAGTTGTAGGAGCTATACTTGGACTGGGATCAAGAATCTATGGAACACTAATTTAATCCCATGGATGATCAACTTCAACATACATTTGTCTTTAACCTATGACTCTTAATCAAGTTGTGATATCTCGTTTAATAGGTTCCTCACTTTCATAATACTAAGAGATTGTGAGCAAATTGTAAGTCAATGAGCTAGGCTCATTCTCTAATAATTACAGAGGGCATTGTTTGCTCATGAAAATAAGGATGAGAGCGCATCTCTTGCCTTCTTTCATGTCTTACATCTTTGATGTGGTCTATCAATTCCATTTGGATCAAAGTTTTTAGCACGTACAATGCTTTACCACTTGTATCTTCTACTTCCGTAGGCTCTCTCCATTCCCAACTTCTACTGCTAGTGAAATAATATCACTACAATTTACCATCTCCTACAGTTCTTGGCTTTCAGATATGACAATGCATAATTACTAATGGATGTAGATGTGGTTGTTGAGCTTCTCTTGCTATCCATCATGTTGAATGTGTCTCCTTTGGTTCCATTACTCTATTCCTCAAGTTGAGAGCCTTAAATAATGAAGCTTGATTTAATAACTTGCCCTGATACCCCTTATAGAGCCACCTAGTTAAATATTCACTTGCACAAGAAATATTCTTACAAATGAGAAACACAATAAAAACACATAGAACAGAGAAAAGAAAACACCAATGTTTTTAAAGAGAAAAACAAATCACTTGATACATTAAAGAAAGGGAAATAGAGTACAAAACTCACATCTACATATGACACAAACTTCTAGTTCTCTATACGCTCATCAATTTCTTCTCTCTACTCCTCGTGGTTTTTGATGGTGTATTAAGCCAAGTTCAAGTGGTATAACTTAAAACGTTTTCTCAATACAAAGCAATAATATTTTAATTACATGAACCGTACATCAATATATACAATTTTCAGCCATTAAACTTGGTTTCTCTTATACTTAAAATGAAAATTACAATTGTAATTAGTCCCTTCACAAAGTCCAAACACAATATACAACAAGGGTATTCAATCAATACCAGACTATATACATGTATTCAAAATTACAACAATATATAAATTACATTGCCAAATTATACATTACTTTAAAATTTCATGAAACACATCAAAATCAATCTCTTCCTCTACCAAACCAAATACTTACATATGCATAATTGATTTGATTATGGGAAGCCATATAAGTCTTAGTTATATACCATGGGATGACTTCTATGATGGCATTAAGATAAAAGACCAAATTTATATACTCAATATTACATACTCAATTCTCCGTTGCATAAGACATATATCAAACTTAAAATTATAGCAAAATAAGTGCAATACATTAAGAAGATGCTAATGGGCCGAGCCCTTTGTCCCCAAATCATTCATCAAAGCTTTGAGGGACTTAATTTTGTTCAATGGATGACATCAAAGATGGCTTGTAAACACAAGAGCTGATCCAACTAAATTATCAAAAACTTATGCATACTTTCTTACCACGTAATTGGCTTCAAAGTGTAAAAGAAAGTGAGAGACACATATTTGTGACAAAAACAATTTGTAAACGAAAAAAAAACGCAAGGATTAGACAACTCATAAAAGATGGAAGTATATGGCCATGGTGTAGTCAAATTAAGTGTATTTTTTCAAAGGAAATGCTAGGATGATGATCCCACATTGTGGTACTCAAAGCTGATATGCACAAAAAACACTCCATAAATCTCAGAGAAATCAGGTGGTAAAAACTTTGGGAAAATGGTGTCTAAATGTATGTATCTAGTCTAGACTATGCATATGACCCAGTGTTGATGCATAGTTTCTCTGGTAGTCTAGACTATACATATGAATTCCCGCATTCAATACTCATGAAGGATCAAACATAGATTAATGGAGAAGCTACTGCAATCACTAATTTACAGCAAACAAAAGGAATGGAAGCTTCAACAAAGGAGATAAAACTATGAAGCGTACCTCATATGTAGAAAATGAAATAAACTAGACACCATAGATTAATGGAGGATTGAACTTCATATGGCCATGGAAGCTAACTTGCTTCAAAGTGAAGAAGGAAGGAGACTAAGAAGAGTGGGGTGTAGGTCTCCTTTCTCTCTCCATAAAATGAAATTGGTTGTGTAAAGAAGTGAAGGTAAGTGATGTTATTTATGGTTAAGTGGTTATACCACTTCATAAGTGGTTTGATCTTAGCTCTTGGTGCTCATTATCCATGGCACATAAGAGAGCCATGATCCTAATCACACATCTCCATCTAGCCATCAAACTGTAACGATGTGATTTTCACATTATCATCACCCATTAAACCCTAGATTTTGCGAATTTACTTCATTATCCTTAAGTCTAAGATAAATCTCTCATGAACCATTTTAACAAACTAAAATTGTCCATCTTACACTTTGAAAGTAAAAAAGAATCTAGTGAGAGGGGCATGCCCCTCATGGTATTTTGAAACTCATTTTGTTTAATACTTAAAAAAAAAACAAAAAAACCGCATTGCTCATCCAATCAAATTGTGCCATTTTGTAAAGAATCACATGGATTCAACCAAATATATGATGCACTTAAAAAGATTGGATAATCAAGGTTACCATTAAAAACTTAGGGCTCAAGCCAAATTATCAAGACCTCCCCTGAACCCTAGGCACATGGGATAAAGGTCACTCATGTGGAAATTAAGCATATTCATTTAAGTTGAGTAGTACTATTCCTTTTAATTTTCATAAATTGAAAATTTACCTGAAATTTTCAATTTTACAAGTGTACCACCCATTTGTTTGACATTATATTTTTGCACATATTACTCCTCAAAGAAGTACTAAAGTTATAAAGGTTTTGTGGTCCTAATAGTGTAGTGAAGGGCCGTATCAGTACCCACATGGGTGCAGGTGCGTGAGGGTTTCATGGCCCTAAAGCTCTCTATACCCATATAAGTGCCCATAAGAAGCACCCGCTAGGTATTCTCTGGATTTCCAAGGAGCACCCAAGTGAGGTCTTGAAATTAAGGCCCTCTATGCTCATATTAACAAGCACCCACTTCGTGCACCATTAAAGTCCAAGAAGAACCCAAGTGAGTGTACAGCCATAAAGCCCTGCTGCACCCATACGGGCTTGGTTTCCTCCACGAAGCTATTGGTATGGTACACTATTTATGGCCTAATAGCATTGCAAAGGACATTTTTGATAAAAAAAAAAATGGATATTGTGTAGAATCGAACAAATACAGGTGCATTTTGAATTCCAAAATTTTAAGAAATATTTCTATTGATTTCTCTAAGAAACTACAAGGGAATTTTTTTGCAAACAGTTGCTTGGACAAGGATCTTATTTGAAAATGGTCGCAGTTTTTATGAGTCCATGTAGAAATGAGTCACCTCTCAAAAATAAATTGGAGTTTTGGACTTAATTTTTAAGGATTATTAGAGATCACAAATATGAAAAATTAATAAATTTTAAAATTAAAAATAATAATTTTATTAGTTTCAATTGTTTTTAGATGGACTACCTATTTGCATCATTAAGATGGATGCTTTTATACCTCGAGGACCGCAAATGTAAAAATACAGTCCCTGCCGCATGAAACAATTTAAATAATTTGCAGAAAAGAGGTGTGTTCATGAAATTTTAATGCTTAAGATGAGTCTAGAACGGCAGCGAGGGCCAGTGGCTCTCTATTTGTATCAATAATAAGCCCTCAAAGATGGCGATAAGGAGGAGTGGTTTTATTTGCTCCCTCACAGAGAGGGTGTGAATCTTGAAGAAAGGGAAGAAGAAAGAGGAAGGGTACATGGCATCTTTTTGCCTCTCCCCCATCCATATTTGGAAGCCGTTGCCTCCTCCATCTCCTCCATCACCTCATCGAAATCAACCTGCTTCTCCCTTTCTCTCTATAACCCTAATCCCATCATCTTCTCCCTCATTTTCTCTCACCAAAGCTCGTCGCAGGATAGCTGCCTCGGTGGTGTGCATGGCACCCGAAGAAGAAAGGATCACCCGCCGCTCTCCTCTCGATTTCCCAATTGTGAGTCTCTCTCTCTCGTTAAACTGGAAATCTTTGCATTGAGCTTTGGTTTTTCTTTTTCGCGAAATAGGGGTTTGGTTTCTTGGAAAAGCAATTTTTCTATGATGGGTATTTCTCTGGCTTTGAGAATTTGTTGCGATACTGAGTAGTTCAGATTCTTCTTATGTGAATGGTTTATTGTACTTGATTATTGGATTTTTACCTTTCTAGTGGTAAATATAGAAATTAGGTTGTAACTTGTGCATTGGTTTATGCTTTTTGTTGTGCTGTTATTTCAGTTCGAAGTTTTGCTATTTTGGATTAGGTTTTCTGGACCGGTACTTTGTTTCCAATGGTGTTCCTTTTGTCCTCCATGATTGAGAGTGAAGATATGTCTGCAAATCCTTGATTCTAATAAATCAGCTGCAGTGTGGGAAATTTCTTTTATTTTCAGGAAGTAGTTTTTACCCCCAGAATGTACATGGAACTCATGAATATTTAGAATCTATCACTTGTTCAATGTTTAGTAGAGAGAACAGCTTAGGACATCTCCAAATTATTCTTCTTTGTTGGTATTGTGAATGCATTGAGTGTAGCTTGGACAGCTTTTTTTCACTTACAAAATATTGATGGACATGCAGATAACATACTCCTGAATTTCCAAAATATGTGGTCCTAAATCATCATGCTCTCTTCTGCTGATTCTAATTTTACCAATCTCGTTAGAGATGAAAAATTCCCTAATATCCTGAAGTACTGAAGCGACACATCACAGTGAATCTCAGTCGTCCTAGCCCAATAAATAAGTTTGATCATACCCCACAAGTTATTCGACTCAAGTATTACTGTATTACACATAATCTCAATAGGCCAAGTATTTTGCAATTTATGCAAAGGCCATGCAGTAACACAAACTTTGATTCTCTAAACTCAATTGCATAGCTTAAAACCAGATGTGTATCTCAAGAAGTCTAACTGAAAGTTATCATAGCCTAGGTTGTTTTAGCTTTGAAATAATTGATCAGTTTCATCATAATAGAACCTAAAAAGCAGGATTTACTGAAACAAATCAAGAGGACGGTGTCCTTTCAGCTGTAATTGCATGGATTGGGACATTTCCGTTCTTGGTGCATCGAGGATAATGGCATCTATTGCTTTGATCATGAAACATTTTTAGCTTTTATCCTCCTAACAATGTTACCTCAATGGAAATCTCTCTGAAATTCCTGATTGTTTCTTTTAGGTAGTGCTTATTGTTATTACATCACAATCCAACCACTGTTTCAAAATGCGGACCGCCCAGCGCCTAGGCAGTCCAGCAGGTGTAGGCAACCAAACTAGGCAGGTGGTCCCTGGGCAGCCGCCTAGGCATTACGGCACCCGCCTAGGCAGGTGCTCAACGTTGAGCCCTGGGCGGTCGCTCAGGGCCTGTGCCCCGCCTAGGGGCGGAAATGACATTTTTTTAGGTTCTTTTGGGTTTTTTTTTTTTGAAAAAAAAGCTTTTAAGGGTGGGTTTTAAGTTCATTTGAAGCTTAAACCCACAAGAACCCATTTTAGAGAGATAGAAACGTAAAAAAAAAACTAGATTTTGTGATTTTCATTGGATCGAAGTGTTTCTCAAAATTATGGAAAATGGGTCCAAACATTGTCCATCAATATTAGATTTAGTTTTGGAGTTTTTTTAATCCTATTAGAGTGTGTTTTTGAATATTTTAGCACCAGAAAACATCTTAGAGGTGTAAGTTTGGAGTTCAAGCCATCAAAGTAAGTTCAAAATTTTGTTGTTTTAGATTGCTTGTTTTATTTTGAGATGTCTTCTTCAAGATGTAGTCGAAGTAGAGATCCGGGTTGGAAATATGGATATAACCTGAATCCAAATGACAAAAATTACATAAGATGCAATTATTGTGAAAAAGATACAAAAGGGGGCATAAACTGGTTTAAGAAATATTTTGCCGGTATTAAGGGGGATGTTGCCCCTTGTAAAAATGTTCGTGAAACTATCAGAGAGGAGATTAAGCAATATATGAGGGGAAAATTTTATATAAGGTTGCAACCTTAAAATGTAGAATTAAAGATGCATCTTAAAAATCTATCGGAAAAGATTGTTTTAGCTCTAATTGATGATCTGGACATCATGATCTATGAATATGAAAAAATAGAAAGATTTTGAGTCCCAGAAATAGTGTACCTTTCAAGACATTATCTAGACCGTCCATATTCTAGCTTTTTATGAATTTATAGATCTACTTGATTTTAACTATTTTTGAAGTTTAAAATTTTATAAGTAGATATGAAAATAGATTTTAAGATAATCCTAAGAATGTTTTACACCAAAATTACATATTGTGATAAAATTAAGAGGTGTGCCTTAATTGAATTGTTTAAGGTTGCAACCTTATAGAAACTACACCCATATATGAGTTATGTAAAACACAAACAAGAACAAAATCCTTGTCATTTGAATAGGCCTTTTTTTGGTTCTGCTAGAAGAAGTGATCCGGTTGGAAGTATGGTCATAACTTGAAACCAAATGATAAAAATTGTATAAGGTGCAATTTTTGTGAAAAAGATACCAATGGCTGTATTAACCGATTCAAGAAACACCTTGCCGGTATTAAAGGGAATGTTTGCTTCTTGTAAAAAGGTTCTTGAACCTATTCGGGATGAGATTAAACAATTTTTGAATTTAGTAGAACCAGAAAAGGATGAAAATTAGCCTTGTTCTATGAAAATATCTTTTCTAGGTTCTTCTAGAAATGGTGATCCAGTATGGTCATAACCTGAATCCAAATGAAAAAAATTGTATTTAATGTAATTATTGTGGAAATGATACTAATGGGGGTATTTACCGGTTCAAAAAACATGTCGCCGGTATTAAGGGGGATGTTGCCCCATGTAAAAATGTTCTTGAGGCTACCAGGGAGGAGATTATATAATATTTGAGTTCAGGGAAGCACAAAAAGATAGAAAAGGGTAGAGTAGCTAAGACTCTTAGGGCCTCGTCTGCACAGAGTAAGAGGGAGGTAGAAGAAGAGGAGGTAGAGGTAGATTCAGGAGAAATAGAGGAGGACGAGCGTTATGTTGAAGTGGGAGATGACTTTGATGATGATGGCCTCAAATATGATGCATATGACGAGGCTTACCCTACTCCTTCTGATGATGATGATGATGATTGAAGAATGAAGAGTTGAAGACACTTGACTCTTGGTGTTGACTGTTGAGTGTTGACTATTGTGTCCTAGACTGTATATTTTTTGAATTTTTGTTTATTTTCTTTTTCTTATTTTTAGTTTCTACTAACTTTTGTATGCATCGGACTATCAGTGTATGCTTGTATTGTTTTAGCATTGTATGAAAATATGGATTATGGACTGTCAAAGTTCTCCTAATTCATGGAAATATCAAATATGAATTATGGATAGAATATCAAAGTTATAATATTTGGGGTTAGAATATCAAAATTCTCCTCATTTATGGTTAGAATATCAAAATTCTAACATTTTTCTTTCTACTGGGCCGCTTAGGTTCTGGACGCCCGCCTAGGCGCTGGGCGGTCTGGACCCCACAGCCGTCTAGGTGCCGCCAAGCGCTTTTTGAAACATTGAATCCAACTAAACATTTACAGTAATGCATTTGCGTTTGACATGAAATTCTTAGAAAGTCGCTTTAAACTTGACAAACTTGAAACTCCTTTATAGATGAAAACTCTTCTAGCATCAAGTAAGTTCTTTTTCACAATTTGTAACTTCTGGCCTTTTTCATGGTGGATCTCTCTTTAATGCAGTATTTTCTCTCTTGGATTATTTTTTTCTGCATTGTCCCACCCGAGTGTATTCCTTTCATGTCAATTTCTTTGGAAAGGACTATGTTCCTACATAGTACTACTCTTACAGACTTTTGGGGTCTAGATATAAAGTTTTCTCCATCGTAAGAGGTTATGAATTGGTATGCATCAAGTTTCTTCAATTGAAGAAATATGGGTTTAGAGATGAATTTGTTTTAATAAAGAGGGAAACTCTCATAACTCCTGCTCAAATTATCCCTTTTTGATAGTGTTCTGTGCACATGGGAGAGAGAGAAAAAAACATAAGAAGAATTTGTCCTTCTCCCATAATGTCAGTGAATCTCCACATGTAAGCTGTCACTTACTGCAACCACATTATAACATCAAGATAAGACCTGAAAAATAGGGGTAGTTAAGAAGAACATTAAAAGACCATATGTCAATTGTCAAGTTAAGAGAGTTCTATGTACATCTGCTTCAAAGAAATCATAGATGCTCATGGGTCATGCAAAAGTCTAGGATATCTAGTATGAAATTTTCACAAAGCTTCCTGACCTTGTCACTCTCTGAGGCTTGAGCTCCCTATGGAGGTGCCATTGGAATCATGCATTAACAAATATCGAGCAGCGTTTCCCAGTGGGCGCTGGGATTAAGTTCATATTGTCATCCACTCTTGGATCATGCAAATTTCACTACAAGGATGGAGATTTTAGTAGCTCTAGAGCCGTGAAGTTACAGATCTCATGATTTTGTCACTTAATGCATCTACTACCAAAATTCACCGAATTGTCTTTTTTAAATGTTCTGAAGTAATGTCTCTGAAAATTTGTCCTGTTGATCAATTGCCCGTTAGGGCTTTCACTGACCTGGCATTTTCTCATCAGGTCTAACATGTTCAGGAAATAATTCCCATAGGAATATGAGATAGGGTGGTCATCAGTCTCTTCAGACTCACTGTAAAAGAAAGTTATGGAACATATAATTGGGGTTTGGGGTTTGAACCCCATGCTGTTCCATCATAATGTTCTTGTCATGGATGGTGAACTAGCCAAAGGTGGGAAAGGAATGCTAATGGGATTCTTAAATATTACAACCTAGGGGATTTGAGAACCCTTACTTTCAAAATCTCGTATGGAGACCTCTGTGCACGATGAAGTCCTTGTCTGGGCATATCTGTTTATCACCATTTCGACATCCACAAGCTTCATTTTTTATTACAGGCATCAGATCCCCA